CACGCAATGGAGGAGGAAAACCAAAGTGTCTATGTAACATTGATATCCAAAGACAAATCGAAGCTAGCAATTGAATTTTTTAACCTTTATTTTTGCTAAAGATGATAAATGCAGAACCATACCGAGCCCAATGCTACCTTTGACCTTCCATTATCACCATTAATGGTTGGGGAGGTGCTAAAAAAGTGTAGGAACCCAATGCTACCCTAGTGTTGTATACAAACCTATCATTTTGTGGGTATGGGCAGCATGTAAATTAAAGCCGTACAAGCTATGTGCATGCTGCATTGTACAAATATGATAGGAAAAAGAGCCCATTCTTAATTCAAACGAGTACCCAATCTAATTAGATGTTAGAAATTTATTAGTACTTGGTGCGAGAAAGAGTTCTCCTGTGAGTGAAACGTCAATTCTTTTTTTCATTTTTTTCAAAAGCAAATCCCAACTATTCACTATTTTCCATAATATATAATATAGAGCAGAAGAATCCTTCAATCTCTCCTCCTTTTGCTTTGCAGTAGTGGCCAACATAATCATACATTTTGCATGCAAATGCTGCTCATAGAAAGTTGTTTGCTTCATGGAACCAAACAAAGTTTCTTTTATTTTCTTTACTTGTCATGTCTTTTCTTTTGCTTTAGACTTGTTTGGGAAGCATAGTTTACATCTGCGATGAATTGCCACTAGTCCTGACTCCTGAGTGTAGGGCTGCGAACGGCCAGGCCCGGGCCCAATTCCAGGCCAGGGTTGGACCACACAGTAAGGCCCATAGGCCATTCTCGGGTCAGGCTTCATAGGCTTGAAGTATGGGGGACTAGGTCCAAGCCATCATAGCCCAAAAAAACTTAAAATATTTTTTTACGTATAGGGGATTTGGATCGCCAGTGTCACACAGTGACGAATAGAGTTCCAGTCCTATCAATGTGTAAGTTAACAATCCAACAAAAGACAAAAAAAAAAGAAAACAAAAAAAGTTTATAAAAACAAAAAAGGTTTATATAAGGTGCCAACCTTATATTGTAGAAGTAAGGCGCGCCTAAAAAAGCTCACTGGAGAATGTTGTTCCAAGGATTTCATGTTCTAATAATACATCTTCTAACACACTATCCAAATCGTTCATCTTCAAGACTGTCAAATGTTTATAGATTTGTTTGATCATCACTATTTTTTAAACTTTAAATTTCATAGTTAGGGGTGTTAATAAATTTTTACGCCATCACAAGGCTTTCCAGCACTGAAACTACATCTTGCGCCACAGTTTTTTAGGTGTGTTTTTCTTTAACAATATAAGGCTGTCATCTTATACAAATCTCACCCAAAAACAAAAAAATTACAATATTTGCTAGGATTGTTTTTTTTTTTTGACAAGCAAACTTCTTTTTTCTTTTTTAATTTTCTCTAATGTTTTTTGAAGTCCTCTTAATACCCCCACCCCACAAACCTCTATTTTTATTTTTAGTTTATCTTATCTATTTTTTAATATATTTTTCAATCACCAATTCGGACCAATCCATTTTCTTCCAAATCACCGATCCAATGATCCAACTTGGATATGTGGATGAACAATCTGCGCCACCCATCCGGATTTTAAAGCATTGAAAAACTGTAAAAGTAGGAATGACGAAACTCTTTTATGTCTTCACAGCAGCCAATGGCATTAGAGTTTGAAGTTTATAACAACAGTTATAAAATTTTCCAACTTCAAACAACAGTTATACAGCTATGCGATCCTTGGTTTTAGGTGCTGTTATTGGCCATGCTATAGGAGCCTCTTGATGCAAAGTGTAAACGTTAGTGAGTTTTTTTTTTTTTTGAACATTAAAAAAAAAAATCTGAGATTTGTTTTACCTGATACTTTTCATATCATCTTTTATGCATCTTGTGGGCAATTAGAAATTGATTGAGTTCTTAAAATCTTAGACAATGGAATGGCGCTGTAAGAATGGGGATTGATTTGAAGGAGGAAAAGTATACAAAGAGAATTCATTTTTAATATGAGGTTACAGTCATTTTTTTCTGTTAGATTTCTAATTGGGAGGTTATGAACGTGTCAATGACTAGACTCAAGGTTCACAAAAGATTTCTCAAACTTTATGATATCCCTCAAGCCAACTAATTTGACATCTGATGACTAGTACCAATTGCAACGTCCTCATCTGGTCTCATAGTATACCATCGAATTGAGGATTCCCCAAACTAATGTTCCCTCAAAATGAATATTTGCATACTGTGTTTTAAAAATCGAACCGGTGGATCAAATGCTAGTTCGGAGCCACCTTGGAACTGTCGAAGCTGGCTCTCTAATTTTTTGGGGTCTTTATGTAGATGTAAATTAAAAAACAATAAAATTACTATTGAAAACTAGTGGGAATAGGGGCAAAACCAAGGGGTTTTTTTATAAAAAAAAAGACCAATTCTAAGGTTTAAATTTCATTGTTATTCCATGTTATGATTAGGGTGGTCAAGATTGATGCGAGATGAAATTTCATATACATAATCGATCACTAAGAGACTATGGAAGGCTGACAGCAGAATAGAGCTAGAACCTCACCCTTCTTATTCATAACCCAAAAAACCTGCATCCATGTAAACCAAACCAAGGGAAAGAGATAGGAGTCTTGGGAGAGAGAGAGGGAAATGTTCCAAAGAAAGAGAGAGGGGGGAAGGTTTTGTGATTGAGCAAAATGTACATCCAAGTGTTAAAAGACTGTCTGAATTGGTCCACCAGAATCACTCACTCACTGGGACGATTTGGATCGGTATATCTTATTAGGATCATCTGATTAGAGTGAGCCGAAATCAGCAATGGACGGACAAAGAAAACCAAACATTTTTTTTAAAAAGAGTAAAGGTATAAAACAAATCGTAACTTCGAATCATTTTTTAAAAACATATCCAAATTTACACCAAAAGAAGCTTGATAAACATCAACCTGTATCACTTTTAACACCATAAACATCAAACCTCAAACATTGATGAGAAACCAACCTGTATCACTTTTAACACCATAAACATCAAACCTCAAACATTGATGAGAAACATCAAACTGTAATTCTTTCTCTTATGTAATGGAACTCTGAACCACACTCTCGGACTCTGCAAATTACAGAGAAACAATGAAAAAGAACAATGGACAGTTGATAACATAAAAAATTGTTAGTGTTTAAATACAACCAATCAAATATTTGATAAATACAAAAAACCATTCGACCAAAAATCCTTTTAACTTTGAACAACGATTTAAAGGACTCCATTAAAACATCACAAAACTGCGTGCCTGAAAAATATTTGCCAAATTTTTGGGTACTTAATACCTTCTTACTTTATCATATTATTGAATTTCCTTTCACATAGAGAAATAGGTGTTTGTCTTATGATTCTAATCCCACATCGAAGGTTAAGAGAAGTTGAGGGTACACAGGGGCTATAAAAGCATTCAACAAAGACGTTACAAAGCATACCTTTCTCGGCCTTTTGGCTAAGATCAAGTGTAGTATCTGTTCTTATCAGTTTAATATCTGATACGTGGTCCATAGGATCACACGATATTAAATTAATTTTTCAGTGGGGAAGGGGCTACCACACTAGCTCGCTAGTCGGTCCCTTGAGCGTCGTTCATGCGTTGCACTACTGCACGGGCCTGGCGCACCCCTACCAAATCAGCTTCAAATTTTTCCTACATTTTTCAACTTTCATTACGTGGATGGAAGAGTAGGGTGTATAATTCAAAATTTATCAATTTTGATGTAAAATGATTTTAGGATTACCTAAAATTTTATTTTGGTATTTAATTATAAATTTTTAAATTTTGATTTATATATAATGTTTTTAGGATTATCTCAAAATTTATTTTTATATTTAATTATAAAATTTAAAATTTAAAAAATGATTAAAATCAATTAGATCCATAAACATATGAAAATGAAAATTTTTCGTGTAGATTAGATGTTGTAAAATGCACTATTTGTGAGTCTTAAAATTTTTTTATTTTTTTCATAGTCATCCATCTCG